GTACGATGAATTCTTCATGCACTCGTCTTTACTGCCGCATTCTGAGCTCGATCCCTCAGAATACAAAGATTCTGCCGAGTGGGTGACCACTATCAGGTTGAAGTGCGGGGACTATAACTCCTTGGAGAGTACAATTGCTTAGGTGAGCTCAGGTATGTGTGACATTTTGGAGCCAGTCGTTGAGAAAGTTGGGCAATCAAGGTTATTGAGTCACCGACAATTACAACGGGCTACGCATGAGTGGCCTAGGGATTCTCTAGTGGGGTAGCTCTCTAGACCTGCACGTGGGTATGTTTCCTGGACAAGGTATGTCTTAAGAGCTCATAAAAGTATTTTGAAAAGAGTAGGTATATGCCAAGCCGTATATGCTTCGATGTTTAGTTTTGAGAATATTCCCTACTCTTGGATAAAGGCGGTGATAGAATTTTGGGACTCGACAACTAATACTTGTTGGATGGGCTCTAAGGAGTTGACAATGACGGTGTGAAAACTGCAGGTTGTTTGTCTACCGATCTTTGGACGTCGGTATGAAGAATACATTCCTCTAGATGAGGAGTTATTATGTAGGAGACTTTCCCCCAGCAGGAATAGGAGGGGAGAACTGATTTTGCCAACAATCCTTCCTGCTGCATTGAGCTATTATCGGCGAGTTTGTAAAGAGGCTAAGCTATTGAGGCGTTCTCGGGCGACCATCCCTTTGGACATATGGATTCGCACTTTCATTCGGGAGGAGGAACTCAATTAAACCAACATTCCTTTACAAGATCCTTTTGAACTAGGCATGGAGTACGCCGACAATCTATCAGAAGACCTTGCCGAACCCTCCATTGATGTATGGTACATGTCACCCGCTCTGACAGGTATAGGCGAAGAGTTATTTCTCGTTGGAGTTTTAGTTTGCTGGTTGTGTACGTTTGTCCTCCCTGCTAAGGGAGGCGCCATTCGATGTAATGCTTTGCTAGCAGTCATTCTTTTGTCGTATGGAGAGCGTCTTTCTCTTGCCCCCATAGTTCTCAATAAAATTTTCATAACATTCAAACCTATCTCAAAGAACCCTACACTCGATGGGCATCGAGTGGGCATGATACGACTCTCCCTTGGCAATATATTTACGCTTGGGTCACATTCACATTCAGGGAGCATTTAGCTATCTGGAATATCCCTCATACTTCTTATATAAGGGGTACACAATCGTTATGCAACTTTTGAGGGCTTCGTCCACTGGAGCAGGAGCGCGTATGATTATTCTTTTTCGCACCACACCTCGTCACTGACCGTTTCCGCTTAGTGCATCAACCAGAGCTTGGCAGTCTACCAAATAATTTGATGGGGGCAGATATCGTCGATGACACCGATCGCCACGGCAGGTATACCTTACTTTTTAAAAGGCGCTCTTTTCAGGTTGTTGAGTATTTCATTAGCATGCGACTTGGATGGTTGTGTTATCGTTACGGGCAATCGGTGATCTTGGAAAGGTATCAATCCAATAGGACTGCCAGATAATTCACCCTTTGCCCAGGAAACATACCACGTGCAGGTCTAGAGAGTTTCCCCCACTGGAGAATCCCTAGGCCACTCATGTGTGGCCGGTTGTAATTGTCGGTGACTTAATAACCTTGATTGCCCAACTTTCTCAACGACACCGGCGGCCGGCTCCAGAATGTCACACATACCTGAGCTCACCTAAGCAATGGTACTCTCCAAAGGGTTATAGTCCCTGCACTTCAATCTGATAGTGGTCACCCACTCAGCAGGATCTTTATATGCTGAGAGATCGAGCTCATAATGCGGCAGCAGAGGCGAGCATATGAAGAATTTGCTGTAGATGCTGCGGCCTCTCAGCATCTCCTCATGCTGCTCCAGCCTATCAGCCACATCAGCAGTCTCGTGAGGATCGTGTTTGTCAATCATTTCCCAGATGGCCTCCTCACTAGGCTCACTTCGCGGCATCTCCTCTGGTCTACTCTAGTTGAACTTTTTTTCTGGCAAAAATGATAGAATCATAAAAAAGCATGCAAACTGATAAAAAGCGAGGGAGTATAAAGATATTTTATATGTTTCGCCCTTATACTGCGTTGACATAAAAAAGAAGAAGTTTTTGGAGATCTGCAGTGTCAACTATTCACAACAAATATGGTCCGCTTTAGGCGCACAACATATTTGTTGGGGGGTATTTGTTGACCCTAATACTAGGGTCGGGGTCGACTCTACCGCACAAGGTGGATTTCAAAAGCGAAAGAGCTTGAAATCGCGCAAAAACTCATCCGACACGTGTCGATCGAAAACTCAAAATCACCGAAATGGCCTCTGTTCGTGAAACAGACAGCGCCGATACGTCTGGAGTAACAAAAATAACTATGATCGACATCCATATTGATGGGGTTCATTGTTCGGCGAAAATTTAAATTTCACGTGCAAATCGAAGCGACGTGTGCGAGCGATGACATGGTAATCAACTCGATGCATGATTAGTTTTTTTTTATATTTTATGCAATATAATTAAAAAAATTAAAGAAAATGAGAGAAAGAGATGTTTTAAAGTATAAAGATAGAAATTTTATAAATAAAAAAATCCCCAAAAATACCCAAAATACCCTCACTTACACCCCTATGCCCTCATAATCTCTTCCAACTGACTCCTCTCATTCTCATGCCATTCTTACACCAAGGAGCCGCCCCCCTCTCCCTCTCTTGCGATTCTTCCTCACGCCAAGACGCTGGCTTCCCTCCTCCCTCCAAGCAAGGTAAAATTTCCTCTCCTTCTCCTTCTTCTCCTCCATTCTTCTTCTTCTTCTTCCTTCCCTCCTCTTCTTCTTCTCCATTTTTTTTAATCTTCCTCCCTCCATTTTTCTCATCAATTTCTCCTTCTTTTTCTTCCCCTTCTTCTTCCTTTCCTCATCCTTCCCCTTCTTCTTCTTCCTCCACGACATTCTATGCAAACCTACAACCAACCCTAACCCTAATTTTCTATTTTCTCCACATCCATCCCTCAAACCACCCACCACCCTTCACAAAAAACACTCCTACACTACACACTCCCAATCATAAAGTCCTCGCAAAATGAGGGCAAAATCTCTTAGTAGTGTCTTATCTACAAACCTATCTGCCTTTCCAAAATTTACCCCGAAACTTATTTTGTTAAAACTCCCCCCGAAGAAAAAGCAAAGTGGGCGGATGCCGAGGCCGAATTTTTGGAGGCCATAGATAGTGAAACCCGAGAGATTCCTTTTCTTACAATAGATCCGAACAATTGCAGCCGTGAAGGAATTAATAGATGGAAGAAATACAGTCGGTGGCTTTAGGGAAAAGAAATCAATTTTGTTATAACTTGCTCTGATTTTATGGAACCTAATCTACTTACTACAGGGGCAATGAACTATGAGATAACAAATTCTCTTCAGGTATCTATGACATAATTTTTGAGCAAACTCAAATATAAGAATTAGCCAGGGAATTAACTCCACATCTCAATTCAAATTTGGCCTAATTCAATCGTATCTTACTCAATAATAGCTAGATTTTTTTCATGTTTGCGATTAAAATGCATATATTGTATTTGTGGGCGTCTGCTTGCACTTGTTTGCAAACTTTGGACATTCTCCCTTCCATATATGTTTTAAAGGAAGTGTATACACGTATATATTCATTCTCTATTCTATTTGAGTGTTTCAATTTACCTTACTGGTTGTAAATAGCTCGTGCTGAACTCAGTAAGCAAACTAATAATCTCTGCTCTTTTACTTGACAAACCGAGTTGAAAGCTTGCTGATAATAGATTTGCATGAGTAGCATTTTGTTAGGCCAGCCCAAGAGAGGCCGACTGCTCCTACTTAGGGCTGCAGCGAACCAAACGTTCGACGAGCTACTCGTTGTTCGGTTCGATTAAAGCTCATTTGCGATCGTTTAATTAACTAAACAAACAAACTTGAACAATATTTTAAATACTCGATTCTTAAATAAACAAACTTGAACACTAATGTGTTCAACTCATTTATGTTCGCGAACAACATCATTTGAAGTTCGTGAACAAGCTCGACATTAAGCTCGATAAGAAGCTCGATTCGTGTTCAATTTTGAACTCGTGAATAAGCTCGATAAAAATAATTAATATTTGACTATATAATTAATAAATATAAATAATCATTACCTTTGTTACATAGACAATTTTTTTATCATAAATGTGTCTGTTCATAAATATTTTCATGAACGTGTTTGTTTGATAGTTAAAAAAATTCGTTAAATATATTCGCGAACAAGCTCGATAAACACTAAACGAACGAACATGAACCGAACATGAACACTCCTTAATTTAAATGAACCAAACATGAACACAAACGCTAAAGCTCGAACTAACATGAACCAAACTTGAACAAACTGATATTAAATGAACACAAATATGAACACTCACATACTCGGCTCGGTTCGTTTGCAGCCCTAGTCCTATTGAACTGGTCCCTAGTGGACAGGTTTACTACTATAGCTGCCGGCCCAGAGAAGGGAGAGAGAAGGGGCCGGCTGCTCCTATGTGGCCCACACCTTTATTAAAAATTGTTTTGGATGGAAATATTTGAGTTAGGATCTGCTTAGGGATTTTGTTTTTCTTCTTTGACTATAATTAGTTGCTAATGCTATAATTTGGATTTCATCTTGAATTTGAATTAGAAATTTGAGATATCTTGTGTACTTGGGCTCTAGTCTCTCGGCTAGAGATTTGAAGTGTCGTTTTCCTCTCGAATTGAAGAAATGCGTATTTTTTGCTGTTTTTCTGCATCCGTTAGTGGAATTCTTCATTGCTCTCTCAGATTTTTACAGTTTTCGCAAGTTTGCTGCTATCATGTTGCTGTTTTCCTTCGAAAACAACAGTTTTTCTGCTTTTGAGCACGTGTTTTCTATCACATTTTTATTGTTTTGTGTCCATCTTTGTTTAGTGATGTTGAATAGAAATAATCTCATAGCGGTGCGTTGTTCTAAAATGTTCCATTTTTATTTTGGTTTTTCAGGCTAGCTCTCCAAACTATTCCACCACATTGAAGCAAATATTTCCTAAACTGCAGCAAATTGATTCGGATATATTTATGTGATGGTCACAGATTGGTACATCTTACCGTGTAATTGGAGCAGTCTTCATAGATAGCTCTTCATCAATGTTAACTAGCGTTATTGGTAACATCTTTTTTAACCTTCTTTTATCCTTTTCCATTAACTTCATGGATAGAACATTGTCTTCTTAGAATTGTAATTTTTTTACACATTTCTCGACTGAGTTCTGAAATTTTGACTTTTTGCCGCTTCAAAGCTATTGTGAATGAATCCTGTGATGGTACCCGTCAGGAATGTCTATATATGTTTTGAAGAATTCATTTTATTTGGATGGTTGTACTGTTATCGTTTTCTTCCTGCACTTAGAAGCTATTTTCATCCAGGTTTTGGCCAGATTTTGGCTGTGAGCTCACTCTTAAAGAGAATTGCTGGCTGGTTGCTGAAATTGTTAGCATTTGATGCTTATTAGGAAATAATAGTAAGAAATCATTAAATTAGGTGAGTACATATTGTTGAAAATTATACATTTAATCTTTAGCACATTTATTCTCTCCTTTATGTCTAGAAATTAAGTATCGTTGTTCATTGAAAGAGACCTTACAATTTTCTTCCCAAAATACAGTATGAGAGTCCGTATTTGGCTTAATTATTCTGTGCGGACGTCGAATGCTATTCGGAGATCAATTAGAATGCGCCACATCACCCATTCACTCGGTACCGCTTAGTACCGTTGACGTGACGCATTCTGATTAGTCTCTGAACGGTATTCTGTCTAGCCTCTGTACAAAATAATTTCTCCCGTATTCGACTGCTCTCCTCCATGATCTCAGCATCATTACTCCCTCGCTTGCCCTATCGCCCGCATACCTAATTCCCCTGCACATTGCCTGGCCCAATTTCAGCACTCCTTGCCTCCCTTGCTTATCATCATGGCTCGCCTTGCACACCACTGCTACTCATACCCTGACCGTGATTCCATATGCAGCACTTGCCTTGCATCCCACTAGTGATCCCACTTGCCCTCCTTCATCTTGCCATGCGAATCCAGGCACCTTACTCTCTCATAGGGAGGTGTAACATTCATGTTAAATCCTATGCGAGTGTTTGGATATAGAACGATTAAATCCTAAAGCGACAGACTCTTCTTCCCTTTTGCACCAACAGAGAGTTAAATCCGCTGAATCAAAAGATTTCAAAAATCCGGGATTTATCGTGTAAAGGGGTAATTTTTTGTCTATGGTGGCTTTCATTTACCGTGAGATTTGGTTTTGCATTTTGGGTTGTTTGGTTGGATTTTGCTCAAATTCGCCTCAAATCCGGCCTAAATCCTACACCAAACAGCCTCTTAGGAAGTAAGCCAACTGACAACATCATAGATGACCAAATCATATATGATGAGGATATACTATATAATAATTCATCTTAGGCTTTGTTTGTAACAACTTTCTTATTGTTTTTTGAAATAACTTTTTAATACAGAAAATTTTAGTTTAAAAATTTTTGCACTAAAAAATTGCTCTAAGAATCAGTAAGAAAATCGTTTCAAACGAAGTCTTAGTATAAAAGATTAGCTAAAAAATTGATTTATCTAGTACTTACACTACTGGAGGTTTATTTTGTTGTTGGAGTCATAAGTCAACCTATGGAAATCCTAAACAAAATCATGAAGATGTTCTTCGCATTCTGTGATACATCAATAAGAGCAGAAGATAGCATAAATGATCAAAGCTTATAGTGTGCAGGTTGCATGAAATGGTTAATATATTGGTCTTCACAATGTCAAATAAGCATGAAAGCATGTGACATTTAGGGCATCTCCAACGGAAAACCCCACTTTTCACTCCAAAATACAATAAAACTTTAAAATGCGGTAATTTGTCTCCAATCGAACTCTATTTCGCCCACTTCTTCACCGTCTTTCTCATCTTTCGTGCACTTTTTCGGCAAATTCCGAACACGTAGAAAAAAATAGTATGTGCGAACAGTGCGGCGCCAATATTAATGTTGCACTGTCCACTGCAGGAGAATAGCAGGCGAAAACGCATTCATTTGAACCGTTTGACGGACGGCAATGGCATGTATGCTGTTGAATTGCGGATGGTCTTACTAATGGTTTGTAATTTTGTATGGGCGCATATTAAATAGTACATTAATAATATTTTAAATTAATTTATTTGAAAAAAGTTGTGTTGAGATTAGTGCAAATAGGATAAAGAAGAAAAATTATATCAATGTATTTTGACATAATTTGTATTAAGATTAATGCAGTTTATAATATCATGAGCATGCAATAATTTTAATATAAAGTCAAAAATATTTAAGTTAGGCAGTATATTATGATATTCTTATAGAATTATTTAAAGACAAAATCAGTATTTTTCACAAACATCCAAATAAAAATAATTTTTCCATAACATATATTAAGAATAATGACTAAGAAAATTTTCTATTTAAAAATTTTAAATCTTTAATAAAGGGGAGAGCTCCATTTCAAAATATAGAGTTCTCTTTAATTTTTTTAATTGATAAATCGCATCTATTTAATCTATTATATTTATATTTATTTATATAAATGTAAAAAAATAAAAAAATAGATAAAAATAAAATACATAATCAATATAATTTACATATTAATAATAATTTCTTATGATAGCTTCTTGTATAATTTTATGTAGAGCCACAATAAAAATGAATTTTTTATTTAAGATTTTTAAAACAAAAAATCAAGAAAATAGCTCCATTTCATTAATAGGGCTCTCTAATTTGTTTTTTTTTTTTTTTAATTATTTTAAAGAAAGATAAATTATTTTTTATTGAGAAGAGGTAAATTTTATTATTTCAATCTATCTAATATTTAATCCTATCTAAATATCATTTCCTCTTTAAATTATTGCTTTTTTTTTTTCTTAATTAATAGTTCTTAAAAGGAGCTTTGGATTTTAACAATAAAGAATATTGGCCGTTCATTAGAGAAAGAGAATCACCTACATTTATTTGAAACTATATAATTTATATTTTAAATAGTTATAATACAAATAAATCAGTTTACAAATCTAATAAATTTATTCTTTGCACTCATAGATAATTTTTATTTTATTTATATCAAAATTATTATTTTTATATATTTTAAATTAATTTATTAGTGAAATGACTAAATAATTCTATTATTTTTATTTGTGTGTTTTGATCATAAACATTATTTAAATTATTCACTTGATAACTATTTTATGTATGCATAGATGATTAAGGTTATTTACATGGAAAATATTAAAAAGGTTATTTAAACCATTTATCATGCATGAAGGTTAATGATGCTATTTATTAGACTATTTAGGATTGAACAAGATATTTAAACTCAAAATCCCAAGTTAAGAAATCTTCGTATTTGAAGAATCTTTGAACTATAACAGATGATCGTACAATGATCAAATCATCTTCTGACTATGAATATTTGAATCGCATGATCAAATCATCTTTGAACAATAATCAAAGATATTCAAGATGAACGATCATGATTTTATCATTATTTGAGGAAGATTTCATCATAGCTTGACTATAGACCGATCACGTTCAATTATTGTTCAAAGATTTCCGAAGTTTGTTCGAATGATGATCGGCGAAGATTCGAAATTGTTTATATTATGATACGTTAATCATTTGAAAATTGTTTAAATAATGATCAAATATTATTCAACTATAGTTTGTTGATGATTCAAATACTATTCAAATAAATTATAATCAAAATTTGATCGAAATCTCTTCGAATAATGTTCAAAGTTTGTCGAACCAATGTCGGCAATCAACTTTAAATAAGTAATATGTAATCTAAAACATGAATGCTTTGATTTGAATTAAACTTTCGAGTACATTTTTCTAACAAAACATATGAAAGACCTATGTTTCCAATTTTTACTATTATGAGACATATAAAGTCACGTTTATTTTCTAAATACATCCAAATAGACGATTAATTATTCTGTGCGGACACCAGACGTCGTCCAAAGGCAAATCAGAGCGTTCCAAATCACCTCCTTGATGTGTACCGTGGCTATGTAACCAATGTGTGCTGGATAATGTGGTGCGCTCTAATTCGCTTCCAGACACAGAGCTACATCCAGTGTCCACACATATTCATTTCTTCAAATAAACACGCTCATAAAAATTTTAGTTTGAAGAGAATTTAATACATATTATAAAATTCAATTATATTTATATCTCTAACATTTAATTTTTTTATATATCTATATATCTATATATATGTGTATGCATTTTATTTTAAATACTTAATATTAAAATTTTTTAATATGACTTACAATTTGAATATTGTATAAATAAATATAAAAATTTATGTATTAAATATATAAATAAAAAATATTATTATTATGATTATATTATTTTTATATATAGTTCGTTGCGCTTTCTGCGTACCGCTACCACTTTTGAATTCCCGGCATCTTTCCTGGCCGTTGAGAAGCGAACAAATCGACATGGAATTTAGCGGAAACAGACTGGTTCCGCATTTCCCTCTTCTCCGCCTCTTCTCCTACTTTGAGCTCCTCTACAACGGAAGAACCCTCCCGCGTTTTGGCCCCCAGCGTTCAATCAAGAAACTCTTCCCTCTCGTCTTTTTTAGGGTTTTGATCCATGGCTTAATTCGATTGCCGAATCCGATTTCGCAATTTCTGCTTGCATTGTTCGTCTGGCCTGGAGGAAACCCTAGACGGAGACTACATGGGAAGCCTCAATTTTGAAGCAGACGATGGTGTGAAAAGTTGTTCTTTTATGCAGTTTTTTTTCCCTGCTATTGCTTTTTTGGTCCTTTGATTTAGAGGAAATTGCAGCAAAGATGCGAGCGGAAGTAGTTGCATGGCTGAATAGTTTGTTCCCGGAGCTGAAATTGCCGGAGGAGGCCACGGAATGGGAGCTCAGAGTGCAGTTGTTTGATGGCTCTGTTCTTAATGGAATTCTTAGGATGTTGAATGCTGGTGCTGTGGACGAGGTAGGGCCAACATTGTACTTTTTTTTTTTTTTTTTGAAAACTTTGTGTGATTATTTGTTTGTTTGCATGTAGAAAACTTTTTTAGAAAATTTTTACTTCTTTCATGTGTGAAATAATCATATTTTTTGTCGCTCATTGAAACATACGGGCCAGTTGATGGATGAAAGTGCCTCTCCGTCTTCATCGCGTTGAAAGTCTATGACTGGATCTTTCTTGATGCGTGGTTCTTTGGTCCTTACTCGTTTTCTGTCTTAGTTGTTAATAGCACCTGTTTCTATCCAAGATCCAAGATCCAAGATCACAACGTTATGATTCCATTTCTGTCTAAATATCTGTTTAAGTTGTTTGTAAACTCTAAAATTCATATTGATTTCTAACTTCAATAACTTTGATTGTAGACTCGAATGATGGAATCCAGTCAATTCACCTTTTTTTCCCCTAAACATGTTAAGCAATAACATGTGCCCTGAGCTTGTTTTGGGGTTGCATTATGAAATCCTAACGTATATGGGCTTCTTTTTCCAGATTAGATACGCTGATTATGTTCCTTCTGAGAGGCGCCCAGAAATTTTGAAGCTGTTCCTCTCTGTCGTCAATAACTTGGGGTTGCCCAGCTTTCAAGTCTCAGATTTGGAGAAGGTAACTTACAAGCTATGGTATTTCAGTTGTAAAATTTCGCTAGAAAGGAAAACTGTAAAATCTAACAATGTTATGTACATTTCTGTGGATCTAGGGAAATTTTTCTGCAGTTTTGGAATGCCTTCTCGCCATTCGGAGCCACATAGATTCCACAGTTAGGAAAGACAAGGTTTTGAGCCCACTAACTAGGTGCAAGAGCCTGCAAATTCGGAAGTGGAAGCATAGGGAAAGCCTGGATGGTTTATTAACTGATGGCATTCATGGTGGGCAGAGTTCTCCAGTCTTCGGAGATGATAAAAAATCAAGTTTTGCTGAAAGGAAGTTCCAACATGCCTCGAGAAGTCTTGTTTCCCCAGGTATTGCCTTTGTTTAAAGCTGTGAGAAGTTTGCTATGAGATAATATAAGCAGACATCTGTAGCTGGTTTCTATTAAATAAGATTTGGTTGCTATCTATGGTCTTTATCTTCTCATGTCCTTGGCACTAATAGTTATTTTGTTGATCTGTATGGTTTCTCAAAAATCTTTTCGTTTTTCTTTGTCATAGATACAACTAGTCCTTTATCTCAATATGCTGGAAATAAACTTCATGAGGTTTTCCAGCTAAAACGTGGGCAGTTTTCTGAACTTCCTTCTGCTAAGATTTCCGAAATCTTGAAACTGAACACTTTAGATGTAAGCTTCAACTTTGAACGACATGGAGTTGTCATTTCTGTTTTCTTTTTAAAGAGTTTGTAGTTTACCTTACTTGATATCACTTTTGCATGACCTATGCTTACTATATGAGAGCACTATTTCCTTCAGATTGCTCCAACACAATTACTTTTGAGTGTTGCCAATGAGATGCTTGATGAAAGCATTGAGAAAAAAAATGGGGAATTACATCAGGTATGCCATTTTTTAAAGGAATCTTTCTGGCATCATAATCAAAGACTTAATTTTCTGCAAAATTGTTCAATTGCAATCACTTCGAACTACTCATGCATTTAAAGCAATTTTGCTGTCTTTTTCTTTTATTTTCTTCACCAGCGTGTGGCGTGCTTGTTGAAAAAGGTTTTGCAAGAAATCGAAAGGCGTGTTACAACTCAAGCTGGGCATATCATACATGTAAGAACATGACTTTCTGATATTTTTGTTGTTTGTGCATAAGATTAAGCTAACAGATCCTTTTGTGCTCTCAGCAAAGTAATATGATGAAAGCGCGTGAGGAGAAGTATCTATCAAGGATCAAAGTGCTTGAGACACTCGCTAAGGGAACGAATGAAGAAACACGGGTATAAATAGTTCAACTTGTTTGTTCCTGCAAGATATTTGGGTGGACTTTCTTCTGACGGATGCTTTTTTTATACCCCTTCCTTTTCTTCAGATTACTGCAAACCAGGTCCAGCTCCTACAGGTCTAGTTATTCTCCTTGCTCATAACGTCTATCTACTTGATCACTTACTATGATTACTTTTTATTAACTTTGATGGCCAGCTTCTTATATTTGATTGTAGATCAATTAGTTTTGTTTTCTTATATTTGTTTGAATACAAAGAAGTCCTGTACCCGTTATTCACAAGATTGTAGATCGGTTAGTTTTGCCCTCATTTTTATAGGTTCAATTCTAATCCATGCTGCAGTGAATATTTTAGGTAATAAAATTAGCTGTTTTCAAAATGCATATAAAATGTAGATTCTGGAAGGTATTCATAAAGAAAAAGATTAAAATTTTTAATAAATGTTATGGGGTTGAATCATCATTTGTGCTAAATATTTTGGAGGCATGTCCGTTTTCTACTAATTTTGAAAACTTAATGAACAATTTTATGCCTGTATTATATGTGTCTAACACAGACACGGGTTACATAATGGTTTCTTTGCTTCCTATAGGATACTTTTTTCATGGATTGCGATAACTGCCTTCGTATGTACTTTAACTGTGAACCTTTAATGTGATGCAATCAAGCCGAAGAAAATTGTATAAAATTTTACAAAGTGCGGATTAAATTCATTGATAAGGCTCTTTTGTAATTTTATAAATTTCTTTCTGTAATCCTAGATTTATTTGTGTTCTTGTTTCTTTCTGATGGAAAATACTGGGAATGAATTTTATATGCAGGCAGATAAGAAAAAATTTGTGGAGCAAAAGAGACTCGGGGAGGAAGAAGTATTTAGGCTGATGAAGGAGAAAGAAAATAGTGATAGCATGATTTCAGAACTTAAGCTGGCTATAGAATCGACCAAGAATTCATATGAACAAAAATATCAGAGCCTAGAAACTGAAGCCAATCGAACTAAGTTTGAGCTAGAAAAGAAAATAAAGGAGGTTGAAGCCCTTTTAGAAGAGTCAAGGAGGAGGTCAAAGGAACTGGAGGTTTATTCAGAATCAAAGTGTCAAAACTGGAACCAGAAGGAGCACATCTTCAACAATTTAATGTGTTTAGAATTGCAATCGTTGCAGGTATTTCATTTTTATACATATTATTATGTTTTTATTATGCTATACTTATAATCAATCCATGCTCTCATAGGTCTTGAGGACGTCTTCTCAATCAATAAAAGAAGAAGTTATAGATGTGCAAGAAAGATGGAGAGAAGAAATTGCAAAGTTTGGTGAGCAATTGGTGGCCTACATTATTGTATCTATGTGCTACTAAATCTTAAGTATTTATGCCTATCCTCTAGCTTTTTGACAGCTTTATTTTCTTTCTTATTTGTCAATTGCTTGTATATTTCATAGGGATAAAGTTGAAAGTACTAACAAAGGCTGCTGAAAATTATCACACTATTTTCTTAGAGAATATAAAATTGTACAATGAGGTTCAAGAATTGAAAGGTAATGACCTAACATCTGATGATGTTCACATTGTTTTTTCTTACCATCATAGTCAAAAATTTCACTTGGTTTTTTAACATGACTGCTCAGGTAATATCCGAGTCTATTGTCGGATAAGGCCTTTACTTTCTGGAGAAGATACGAAGTCTACAGTCATCGACAATATCGGTGAGAATGGCGAGCTTGCTATTGTAAATCCATCCAAACAAGGAAAGGATGGACAAAAAATGTTCAAATTCGATAGGGTCTTTGGTCCAGCTGCTACCCAAGGTTCATTTCATACTGCTGCAACGAGTAGTTATAGCCTTCTTGAACATGCTAAGATTGACATTTACACTTGGCTCTTATTGAGGATAAGAAATGAGAATTTGTGCTTTGTCAGCTCAATACTAAACAACTAGATGTTCTGATTCCTATGCTTATTCTATTGACAGAGGAAGTGTTCTCAGATATTCAGCCTTTAGTGCGATCAGTTCTTGATGGATACAATGTCTGTATCTTTGCATATGGACAAACTGGATCAGGCAAAACATACACAATGGTATATTAAATTTTTTTTTTGCTGCTCCCCTGTTTTAATCTTTGATGGTTTCCATGTGATGTCTGGGTGCTTATTTTAACAAATACAGAGTGGGCCCGATTCACCATCGAAAGAAGAATGGGGAGTCAATTATCGAGCTTTGAATGATCTTTTTCATATATCTCGAAGTAGAAGAAGTACTGTAGAATATGAAGTTGGTGTGCAGATGATTGAGATATATAATGAACAAGTTCGTGATCTACTTTCCAATGATGCTTCACAAAAGAGATATCCTTTCAAAATGCTTCATTAATCTCTTCCATTTCTTTTTTTTTGGCATTTTTCATTTTTTATAGTATGAAAATGATTGAAAATTTTGCTAGTTGAGGGAGTTATTAGGGTTTGCTTGGTTTTCACTCATATATACATTACAATGCTATGTAATTAGCACATGCTAGTTGTTTGATTTATTGATTAACTGATTTCTTTTCCTAGCAATTTTATAAATAACATTCATGTTGTATTTTGATGATGTTTAGATGCAGGACAAATTCATCGTTGTTCTTCCTACAAGATGACATTGAAGATAACATGCGATATCTTATAAATAATGTTGCCATCAAGATAATAGTGTTATCTAAATAGCTCTTAGCTTCATTATTTAATTCGAAATTAACTTCTCCTTGTTTTATTAGATTTAAATCTTAGGTATTATGTATTCTTTGTGTGTTGATCTTTATCAGCTAATTGTCTTTTCTTTAACAAGCTTACACATGGGATTGTGAGTAGATCTCAAGCTAGTGGACTTGCTATCCCTGATGCAAGCATGCACTCCGTTGATTCAACCTCTGATGTGCTGAAACTGATGCAGATTGGACAAGCTAACAGGGCTATAAGTGCCACTGCTCTAAATCAAAGTAGCAGCCGTTCACATAGGTTATAACCGCTACTCTAAGGTTTCGTTTGGGACGACTTTCTTACTGCTGCTTAAAACAACTTTTTAGTATAAAAAATAAAAAATTTAACTAAAAACCTGCTTTAAGCAGCAGTAAGAAAGCCATCCCAAACAAAGTCTAAATCAAATAAGTAGTCTTTGACCTAGGTTTCTATGCATTGTTCATTGAACATACGGTTGTTTTTAATACTTTTCTTTATTCTTGTTCTAATCTTAAATTTATTGAAATTTTCCAGTGTTGTAACCGTTCATGTCCGAGGTAGTGATTTGAAGGCTGGAACAACTCTGTTTGGATCCCTTCATCTCATAGACCTTGCTGGGAGTGAGAGAGTTGAACGCTCTGAAGTGACTGGAGATAGGCTCAAGGAAACTCAGCATATTAACAAATCCTTGTCGGCTCTAGGCGACGTCATATTTGCTCTGTCCCAGAAAAGTGTTCATATTCCATACAGAAATAGCAAGCTCACTCAAGTCTTACAAAGCTCCTTGGGTATTTCTCTCCCGTTTGCTTAACAGCTTATAAATTATCTGCATTGAAACTATATCTCTTACATTACATAGACTTCTTTGATCCAGCTCTGCAGCTCATGTAAATGCTGTTTCTTGTGCAGGTGGCCATGCAAAAACACTTATGTTTGTGCAGATAAATCCAGATGTAAAGTCATATTCAGAGAGTTTAAGTGCCTTGAAATTTGCTGAAAGAGTGTCTGGAGTAGAGTTAGGTGCTGCTTGTAGTAACAAAGAGAGCAAAGATGTCAAGAATTTGACTGAACAGGTTAGCTAATAGTAATCAAAGGACATGAAATTAATTAATTCACATTGATTCTTGTGCTATTAACGAGAGGCACCTTGTGTGCCTTACATTTCCATTTCATGCTATGCCTGGACATAATAGCAGTACTTCAAACACTTGACATTTCCTTCTTCATTACTAGTGCATATACTCATGTTAATCTGTTGGCTTTTAATGTGTTTTAATTGGATGTTTCAGGTAGCATTGCTTAAAGAAGCCAATGCAAGGAAAGATAAGGAGATTGAAAAGCTGCAAATGCTCAGGGAAACCGGAACATTCTCTTCTGGTGTAAACCATGTAAAACATGGTAATTTTGTTTTGAGGCACTCATCCTTCTCTCCTGAAATGTCCTCAAAAGATTTGACTTCCCAACAAGGCCTGGGATTATCAGTTCAAAGGATCGTCAGATCTAATAATGAAGCTTCTTTAGATTCTGATAACTCAGACAACAGCGACAGACATTCTGAAATAAGTTCGCAGCACTCTGTGGATGACAAGCACAAGAGGGAAAGCTTGTGTCACTCAAAGCATTCTGGTGAAGAACCTGGTTTGAGTTGTCCGGCAGATTTTCAGATTGTGGCAGTCAATGGTGTAGATTCAGAAGAAGGATTAAGTGATGCATATAATGGCTGTCTTTTGGAAACCAGTGGGTTAGTTAGTGCTATTGAGTTCTCTCACCTCCCTGAGCAGAACAGGCTAATCAATGGTAATGGTACAAAAGAAAAGATGTGAGTGTTCTTTTATGCTCTTGAAACCTCGTATTGTCATTAAAGAACACATTAGTTGGTTTAATTATAATTAGGGGTGTCAAAACTTGACCAGATCTAAAACCCGACCCGAAAATTATTGGGTTCGATTCAACCCGTTTGCTAGACGAGATGGGTTCAGTTTCATTTTCTGACCCGTTTTTAAAATCGGGTTGAGTACGGGTTAACCCGGAAACTCGAAATCTACCCGCAAATGACCTGGGTCACCTGCCTGCAGTCCCGACTCCCTCTCTCAGGTCCGCACGTAGCAAACCCTCTCGCGTTCGCACTCGGAGCCAGACCTACGTCCGCACTCAGATCCTCACCACGGCAGCACCACGCTTGTGTGGCGTCCTCACCCACATAGCATGGCAACACCCTCGCTCGCTTCGCCCGCACAGTGCCGCGCTGACCCATGCCTCCTTCGCCCACAGGCCTCACACATGCTCGCCCCATTCGCATTCGGAGTTAGCGGGTCAGGTCGAATCAACCCGACAATCTAGCGGGTCTAGATCAGGTCTGAATTTCGGACCCGTTTGCAAAACCAAGTCGGGTTTGGGTCAGTTGAATTTGACCCGTGTCAATTTTGGGTTCAACCCGAACCCGACCGTACCCATTTTGACACCCCTAGTTACAACTTTCTACAATAATAAATAATCTAAAAGTTGTATGTTGCTCTAATTTTTATATCTTGCTAGTTCATTAGCCAATGTAGTCCATCTCTCTAAAAAATTGTGTTTGTTAAATAATTAATTGGTTTTATGTTTTAGATGTTTGATTGGGTGATTGGGTTGTTAGACATGTATAACAGTAGGTTTATATTAGATTGATGTCAGGATTTATGATATTTTATGACAATGATCTCTGATTAAAGTTGTGTACATGTGTTTAATAAAGGAATAAATCTCAAAAAAGACAAACTGAACCAATCCAAAATAATAATAATAAATAAAATTGAGAGCTAGCTAGATACTAGGTGATTTGGTGATTTAAGTAAGCCAAATTTTATATATGCATTTCGTTATGATGGCTTATGGCATTCCCGGTTCTCTCCTCAATGACTTGTATTCATACATGCATTAACGGTTTTGTTTTATCATTGATGCCTTTATATATGTTTTAATGTGATGTTTTTTTTTCTTCTCATTAATGCATCCATGGATCTTTAATGAAAGAATCCTATCTACTTATAGTCCCTCTGCTTGCCTCTACTTTTATATGATGATCCATTCATAGGCTTTAGGCATGGGTTGAAATTTGTAGGTCCAAATCTTATGAAGAAAAAATTTGCAAATTTGAAGTCCCAAAAACTTCATTCTTTTGTAGAAAGTGAGATTAAAATTAATGGTTTTTTCAACCAACCTCCTATATTCTCATTTTCTGTTTTGAGTGCAAAAATTATGCTATACTCTTTGGTTTTTGTGGGCTCCAAAAATTCCCTCCTAGCTCTATTAATATTCAAGTGATTTTGGGTCAATTTATCTAAAAATGGCTAGGATATTACCCGGATATTTTGTCATCTTACAAGACTTTTATGATATGACTTGAGGTGTCTCTTTGACGCAAGGTTATATGTTTAATTATTTCTCTCGATTACTAGACAATATTTTTTTAAGGGTAGTTTGTAGGCTTAGTGATGATTTATTTTTAGTAATAATAATTTAGATAGTGAAAAAGAGGGAGATAATATTATTGGCTCATAGCGAATGGTAGGTGAATAATGGTCTTATGTGATAACACATAATGGCTAAGTTTGTGGGCAACATATATCATGGCTAGGCAATGCTTCTCGATTGTTGTATATTTTAATTATGTAGGACTAAAACATTTGTTGAGTTAGTATAATGTATTTTTTATTTCCTTCGTTAGCCTATTAATGAAGATCTTATGGTTCTATTATATTGCGTTTTAGTGGATTCTAGTTTATTTAGTCAGCAGGGATTGTTGATCCAATAGGACCATTGGATCTTTGTTAGTATTGGTTACATCATTTCAGGTAACTTTATAGATCTAGGGGGAAAGCTTGTTAAAGGGGTCAATTTCAAGATTGGCCTTGGCTAACAAACACCTTTATGTCTTATTAAGTAGGCTTTATGAATTATAACTCATATACTTTACCACGAAGTGATATATGGGCTCTGATCGCAACTATAATATACGTGCAAGCACAATCATGCTAATCACACAGTTAGTGCTCATATGTTGGGTCTTTACAAATGTGGTGTTTTGAGTATGATTATTTGAATATATGTGCTTTGACAAAACCCACCAAACTTCGTTGATATTTTTCAAGTTATTTCGGATTGACTTTTCGAAAGGTGAATTAAATATTAGATAAGATAGTATTGAGAAATTTCAGCCTCTAATAAGGATTTTATGATTTAGTTTGAGGTTTCTCGTAGATGCAAGTCCCTATTATTAATTATCCTTATATCATGAGAGAACACTTTCAAGGAAGATCATTTTGCAAGCTCAATGGTGGTTTGTTTTAGACTTTTAGTAGCAATAATTTGAATAAAAAGAAATAAATTTATATCATTTTTTACTAAAAGTGGATGATGGAGGAATATGGAAAATCTATGGTTTGTCTTCTTTGGATGTCTTGGACCTTAGTCTACTTAATCAGTAGATTTAGTCAACTATATCTAATCAAATGATGTTGTCAGTTATCTTTGGATTATGTTGTCTAAAGGGATTTTATAAATCTAATGGGAAAGCTTTAAAAAAAAATCTAATGGTAAAGCTTGTCTAAGGGCTCAACTTTAAGTCAAAATCGGCTAAGAAACGGGTTAGGGTTCTTTCGAATACATTTCATGGCTTATAACTAATGAACTTGCCGACCCCATGTAGTGGGACAAAGGCTTGATGTTGTTGTTGTTGATAGAATCATGACCACTCTATCACGGGACATATATTGCATCCTTATTAGCATAAGGTTTTTAAGTGTGGCTATGTATATGGCATTAGTTCTTGTGTGCTCTTGTAAAATCTAGTGTTGTCATCTTTGGCAAACTGTTTTGATTATTGAACGGATGACTTTTTTTTAGTGTGAAGTTAATAACTATAGCTCTGGCTTTTGGCATATATTAGTATTTTACTTTTTGACTTTTTGCAAGGGGCTTGGATTTGGATGCAGTTTCCTCTAATTATGATTTTCTTAATTTGTACCATCATTGAAAAAGAGCTTAAAATGTATTTATCTTGTAAATTAAAAGTGAACTTTAATGGTAAGATCCCCTATGATTAGCATTTGCAATGAGCATTTATCTTTATGATCCAAATTTAATTATGGTGATGAACTCTTATAGTTATGATATTTTGTAAATGAACCATCTTTGTGATAATGGTGCCTTGAAAGCTCACATAAAGTTTCAAAGTTTAGAATTCTTTCATCTTTTGGTAGTGAGGGGCAATTATTATTATTGCATGAGCCTTATCAACTCTAATATTTATTCCAAAGGATTGAACTTGAAAGCCGAGACTTATAACGTATTAGTTTAAAGAAAGCCCATTTTCACTTTAATTTTTATGTGAAGATGGTTGTGCTAGGGGGGCTTGTCAATCATGATTACTTACTTGCATAGGATTAGGCTCAAGAGTGAAAATTAGGTTTTGTTTGGCACGGATTTCTTACTGCTTCTTAAAGCAACATTCTAGTACAAAAATTAAAAATTTTATATTGAGAAGTTGCTTTAAGAAGCATTAAGAAAACCGTCTCAAACGAAGCCTTACCCTAACAAATAAGTATACATAGTTTAGTTTATGTCATTGCTCTACTTCTAATTTAAATGAATGTTTTAGATCTTTATTTTAAACTTAAAAGTTCGAGATTTTATTGTTGTGAAGTCACAAACACCTTTTAATAGTACTATGAATTTCTACTAAAGCCTGTGTTGATCCGCTGAGACCCAAAATGTGAAAGGCGCTTCATATTTGTTGGGTATGCCAATAACAAACGGGGGACTCTAATTCTGTCATTGATTGCTAAAAAATATTGATCATTCTTCATCTTTATTTTCATATGTACATTTTTTGCTTGTGATCTTTCCAGTTTTAGTTATACTTCATGAATGCAGGTCCAGAGTTAAATCAAGTGTAGCTAAGCCATTGCAACCAAAGATTGCACAGGAAACTGTGATCCATTCAAAATTGAAGGATTCTTTGAAATCTCCAACCTCTCTTGCTACAAAAGGTGCTTTGAAGCCTATAAATTCTAAAGATGGCTTGAAATCTCCAAGTATGTACCTTTACATCTTGATTGTTTTTTTTCTAATTAAAGTGAAAATTAATTATCTGCAACTTCCATTTATTCTTTTTTTTTTCCTCTTTTTTCAAGAGATCCATTTAGTTTAATGTAAATTAGAATTCTCAAGGGATTACAAGACATGTTTTTTAAATGTTGTGATCCTAAGATCATTTTAACTTGTTTGTTCAAAGCCAGTTGGATCACTAATGCACTTAATTGATAGTAATCTCATTGTAGAATCAATTGAACTTGATGAGGATATCATTTCTCACTTGTTTCTTATCTGAAAAATGATAATAGAAATACTCCCAAATAAAAGTATGTCACACTGTTCCCAAATTTAATTGTTCCATCTCATCAAATGTGGATTTTTGACTTTTTTTTCTTACAATTTCATCCAAATGATTTAATCTAATGGCTTACACTATTGTTTTGAACTTAGGTTTTGTTTGGGACAGATTTTTTCCTGCTTTCTAAAACCGTTTTTTAGTATAAAAATTTCTAAGCCGTTTTAGAAAGCATTAAGAAAGTTATCCCAAATGAAACCTTTTTTTCTACTTACCAGCAGTATAATGGACCCTGAAACAGTACCAACTCCATCACAAAAATCAATTTGAAGCTCCTGAAGTTCTTTTCAGCTATTTTTCCTAAAGATATTATATAACAATCAATTTGATTTGTTAATGCAGTACTAATATAAGCTTTTCTTTCACTTGGTCAACAATGTCAGGCTTAAAGAGCAACACTAACAGCCAAGCAACTTTATCATCAGCAAAGCCCCTCTCAAAGCGCTGGCAGTAGTGAAAAGTGCTTTTGGCATGAAATTCTCTTATTTTTATTGTGAATTACAATTTTGCAGAAGTTTCAAAACATCAACATTAAAGTAAGCCTCTGTCCAACATTTTGGTGTAGCCAACAGAGCTTCTATGACTCATCTGATGCTGAAGATATTTTATATTTCTCATATAGATAGTTTCTTCAATTTGTTGAGTGATGCCCCTTAGGGTGTGGCAATCTTGTAATATTAGTATACATTATTTGATTCATTTCTATATGTTTTTTATTTGCTAAAAATAATTATTTGTTGAACTCATTTGAAAGGAGCTTTATCATGTTTGAAATATAGGGATTTTTAAAGGAGCTTGATCCTTGCATTTCCATATTATTCACAAAACCTATGTAAATGCATGTCACTAAGGCTTTGTTTGGTTTAGCTTTCTTGTTGCTTTTGAAAGCAACTTTTTAGTGAAAAAATAGTTTTAAAAAAATGTATTAAAAAATTGTTTTGGAAGCAGTAAGAAAGTTGTCACAAATGGAGCCTAACTTAAATATGCATGTTTTTAGTCTTTTTTTTTGTGTGTGAAAAAAATATATGTCGACATATCCTGATATCATTTTTGTTAGGGTAAGTTTTGAAATAATTGGATGTGCTTTGAGATTAATGTGCAACATGTGAACTTTAAATTGTATTAATCTCAAAGTAAATTCTATAATTTTCGTGTTTATTATGAAAAAAAATTATTCCAAGATATTTTAATTTTTTTTTTATATTATGATAAAACCAATGCCGACTGTGGCTTGGCTTATAGTAGTTCGTTATATCTAGGGGTGTCAATTTCGGGTCATGGGTCGGGTTCGGGTCGAACCCGGAACTGACCCAGGTTCAAACAGGTTGACTCTAACCTGACCCAGGTAGACAAACGGGTCGGAAATTCGAACCTGGACTCGACCCGGCCCGATCCTGTTTTTGGTTCTGCCGGCGCCGGAATGACGGCGGGCGGACGCGAGTGGGGTGGTAGCACGAGCGGGCGGGGGGCAAGCGTTGGGCAGCACAGCAGCGGGCGCGCTGGGCAGGATGTTTTAATATATATATATGTCTAATGATTATTCCAATCCGAATGACTCATATAATAATTTCTTCTCTCCTGTCCTCCACCCAATAAAAAAAATTAAAATGAAAATAGTGGGTAGAAATGCAAAATATTTTTTCTGTCCGCGTATCAGTCGCCTAAGCCGGGTACAAATGCAAATTTGTATTTTTGGGCTCCTTGAACGAACGCATCAAGCTTTTTTTTTCTGTCGGCGTGCAGTATAAATGCCAAGCATCTCTCGACGAATTGAGAATTTTGTTGAAAGAAAAAGTAGAGAGAAAAAGAGTGGCGAAGAGAGATTTGAATTCTCGTCCAAGAGAAGAGAAGAGAAGAGAAGAGAAGAGGAGAGAGAGAGAGAGAGATGGCAGGGCCGGTCAAAGAGGTAGCTGCGCCCACCGCGGTGAAGACGACGGCCCTGAACTGTATCAGTCTATCGGATCCTGATATCAACAAATCCGTTTCCCTCCTCAAACAGGTCTGTCCTCTTTTGAATGCGTCCTCCAACTTTTCGTTTTAATGTTGAGGTTTTCGCTTTGAGGTCGAAGTTGAATCCAAATTTCTCGTTTCTTTTCTAGATTTTCTTTATTCCTGTTTTTTTTTTTCTTTTGTACGAGTTTGTGACTTTTTTAGATTCAAAACTAGGTTTTTCTGCCATATCATTAATCAATTTGGCTAGATTCTGGTTAGTTCGACGTACTTTCGGCTTAAAATGACGAGTATCTTGTTAGATGTTATGGCAGATTTCTACTGTTTTATTAAGTTGATTACTTTTTACTTTATGAGGTTGTTCGCCGTGTGGTAGTTGAATGTTTCTATAACTGGTCAATCGTTTGGATTTGAGGTTGCCATTACTGTTTTTATTTTTTCCACTCAATGATTCTTTTTCATTGTTGATGGGATTCCATTTATATCTGAAATATCTGCTCTTCTGTATTAGGAATCGTTTTAGCCACATTAAATTATTTTTTGTTATCAGTCATATGTCCACGAGTTAGTTAGAGCTGTGGTCATAAATTTATGGATAATTTATTTGTTTCTAAAGAGGCGTTACAACTTACAAGTCTTTTATTCTTTTGCGCGAAGCCTTCGATAGTAAATCATAAAGTAACATGCTATAAATTTTATATCTTTTGAATTATATTTTTTGCTGGAGTAAGCTGTATTATGGTTGATAATTAACTGCACATCTATACTGTTTTTTGTGGCTGTTTCAGGCTTGCTTAGATTCTGGATTCTTCTATGTGGTTGATCATGGAATTAGCCAGGAATTTATGGATGAAGTTTTCTTTCAGAGTAAGAAATTTTTTGATCTGCCTTTACCTGAGAAAATGAAGCTGCTTCGGAATGAAAAACATCGGGGTTATACTCCTCCTCTAGATGAGCTTTTGGATCCTGAAAACCAAGTTCATGGTAGGTTTCCAAGGTTTATCATCCTTCATCTTCACCTCTATATCTTCTAGATGTTAGTTTTGCTTCATGATGAAAACTTAGTTAGACTCTACTCTGATTTAACTGCAATTTTTTACTTCATGAATATTTGTTGCTAAGTTGGGTATTATTTAATGATTGATTAGAACACTTTGGCCTTTTTATTGTAATCAGTAAAGTTTACTATTATGTAATTTACAGAAATCAACCAAGGGTGGTTTTAAGCTGCGCTAGTATGATATTGTATTTCATTTTTTTTAACATTTCAACTTTTTTTATGTGTTTGGTTTTAAGCAAAAGAAATACAAAGTGAAGTTTTGAGGGATTTGAAATACCCATAAATTTCTATTTTCCATGCATTTGGAAATCGGCCGACTTCGCCTAATTGCATTGCTCTTGCCTACCCTCATTTGCTGTATTTGAAATGTATTGTAATAAACACAAAAAAAAAAAAAAATTAATGTATTTGATTTGCATCCAATCAAAGAACTTCATTTTTAAATTGCATATATTTCAGTTCTTTTGAATTTCTTGCATAAATTTATTTTGAAATCATCAAATATAACTGCTGCATTGCAACACAACTGGCAATGATTCGACATTCCTGATTTTATGAGAATTGCGTTTTTTAACCAGTGTAATTTCTAGTAATAGATAATGCTTAGTAATGACCTCCATCTATTGATTAGATCTATGCTTTTTTATGTGTTTTTCCTTGAAATGTAAATCAATTACTTCGACTGTAGAAATGCACTTATATAGTTATATGTACTAAAGATCACTCGTAGCCTACTTATATGTGGCTTCTTTTCCTAGTTGTAGAACAAAAATGCATGGAAGTGATTTATTTGCTTAGAGATCTTGTAACGCTATTTTTATTAACAGCGACTTTTGTTTCAATTAGACTTCAAGAAAAGATTTGAGAGGGAATGTTAGTTTGGCTAGGCTACATTCGAGTAACTAGTAACTAGCAATTCTGATGAATTGTGATGTAAAATATTTGGTGATATGGATCCCATAAAATTTAATTTATTTTGCACACTGAGATATTTGATGGTGGTGAGACCTGCAATGCTTCATGGTGCAGAATGTTGGCCATTAAAAAGAAGTGTAATATTAAGTCAAGTGTTGCAGAGATGTGGATGCTCAAGTGGATGAGTTTTTTACTTTTAGAGATAGGATACAAATTAAGCATATGTTTGAAAAGGTTGTAGTACCTCCAGTGGAAGATAAGAGTAGAGAGAGTCGCCTTAGATGGTTTGTTCACATAAAATGGCAGTCTTCTGATGACCCGGTTAGGAGAGTAGATGTATTAGATTTGGCTTATGCTAAGAAAGGCAGAGGTAGACCCAAAAAGACTTAGTTAAAAAAATATTAGATTTAAATGAGAATTTGACTCTTAATATGACACAATGGACAAAAATGATTAATGTAGCAGCCCCACGTAGTGGGATAAAGGCTTGATGTTGTTATTATTGTTGTTGTTGTACATTGAGATATTTGATATGGAAGGATTTTGGAAGAAGTATCCACAACATGACAATAATCTGCTTTGCTTCAACGTATTTCATAGTGATTCAAAAAGTCTACCCTATCTTTGTTTTTTGACCATTGTTTCCAGTGCTATAAGATTTCTTTAATTATTATTAAAGCCCTTTTTAAAAGCAGGGCAAGTTCACATGATGTTTGGTTAAGAGTTCTAAACAACCTCCAAAATAAAACATGGATTATAAAAGCGACATTGGATGGTTTTCATGTCTTGGAATCAGGAGTATATTCAAGTTTAATTAGATCCCAGTAGCATGGTCATTTAATCAATACTATCAAGACAAAACAAAATTTAAGGACCTTGTTTCAAAATTCTTAACGAGGAAGAATCCGGCGCAATACACTGTAGAGGTGATTATGTGGCTTAAAAGAATTTGGAGATGGTTGTCAATATATGGGAACTTGGTCAAAATTGGCGTGCACCAAATACATAGTTATTTGTTTTGGGTTTCTTAATTTATTTTCATAATACTAATGGTTTATATACCGTCTCCAGATTCTATCTAGCTTGATTTTTTGTTTACTAATAATTGTATAGGTTCTCAATTTGATGAAATGATGATATAAGTTTGCTTTGCATTATAATCTGCTATATTATTGGACAGAACACATACTTTTGTTCGAAGGATTTTACTCCTGTGTTTTATTTGTGCCATCTATTTGAATTAAACTCTTGTTTTATCCTTGATGACCAAATATTAGAAGTTTCCACAATTTCTTATTATTAATCCATATTTCACTTATTTGCAGTGAAGAGTTTTCTTATGTGGTTATGTTTTTAATGAGTTTTTTTGATAGAGATATTGTAATGATCTTGAATATGTTTCTAGGTGATTACAAAGAAGGATATTACATTGGTGTTGAAGTACCCGAAGATGATCCTCAAGCAGAAAAACCCTTTTTTGGTCCAAATCAGTGGCCTTCAAAACGTAAACCATCCCAATCTGTTCTCTTAAGTGTCATTTTGATATTTATTTTTCAGAATGAAGCCAGTTTCTTCCATGGTAGTTGTTTTACCTTAATTCCAGAACTTTAACAGTAGGTGTGCAACTTTTCAAATTCCGCTGAATCAGCAATATTACAATGCGCTGCGGTGTATTTGAACATTGTTTCACTATTTCTCATATTGTTTGTGATGATCACCATAATTTTCTTCAATATTAGTTTCAAAATATTAAGTATGGTGCATCTCTTTTCATCTTAAAACTTGAGAGTTTATATATTTTGGTAAATCACTGCATCCTTAAGCTGGTCTGCTTGTCATGAAGCTGTCATAAATCCCTGGTGCATTTCTTGATTGCTGTGTTAGTTTCTACCTAATTTTAGTGATTTTTTGGGCAATTTTCTTAGTAATGTATTTGCTGTGTTATTTGTTACAAATGCCAAATTGGTAAATTGAGCATCACCATGTATTTTGCCTTTTTTTTTTAACTTATGCTGAACTTTTCTGATTCTGGTTTGTTCCGTTTTCTATATTATTAAGATATTTTACCTGGATGGAGGCGGGTTATGGAGCAATACCACCAAGAGGCCTTGTAAGTTATCTTTTGTACCTTTTAATGTGGTATTTTATTTATCCATCAAGTAATTATCATTAAATATTGTCATCAAAGAATTTCAATTAGCATATACTCAATTTACTTGAAATGAGGTATTTGACAAGTGTAATTATCACATGATAGTAGGCATTGTCAATCTTTCTTGTAACTAGTGATTTCTTAGTTGTATTATCGATTATGTATCCCATTAGCTTGTAGCATTATCCTTGTTTGCTTTAGGCTCAATATTTTATTTACTGACAATTATAATGATAATGTTATTAAACAAAAACGAAGAAATCAGTGAGTATTTCAAACAACACAAAATCAATGGGCAATTATAATTTAATCATCATAACAAAAAATTTTCAAATTTAAATAAAATATGGAGCACTTACAAGCTAATACTAAAATATGTAGAAAAAACTATGTTAAGAAAATTATTCATCAAATTTAAAAAATTTATGCCTGATGCCAGCATAAGGAGATGATTTCTCTGAGAATTTAGTAATTGAACTTATGCCGCATTTAAAGGAATGACACATTTAATTTGTACATGTAAAATAAAAATTTGAAGAAGAAATTTATTCCATCTAAGCTATCCAATTACATACCTCAATTAATTTATTTATTGACCCCAATGCCTAGGTTAACAGATAACTTTGGCACAAAATTTATCTAGTTTGGTGAGTCCATTCAAATTCAAGTTGCGCAATTATTCCAATTTCAGACATTCTATGGCCTAAGATGAAATCCATGATATTGACTCTATAATAGTCAACTCGCCCCGATCTACTTCCTAAAGAGCCAGTCTGACTTCAACATTATAGCACAATAGTAAATAAAGATAAATTTATAGTATTTCAACACAGAATAATGACACAAAAGAGTAAAGGAAACTACAAAGGTGGAAGAATAGAAGGCTAATAATACCATAAAGGACGATCTCCAGCAGCAATATAGGAAACGACTAAAAACAATGAACAGATATGGGACAACAACATCTGAAATTGAATTAAACCAGGAATATAATCAACCAAATCCAATGCCAAACCATATAAACTAGCCATCGCTAGGAAATAGAAAACATATTTCTTTCTAAAAGTCATCATAATACGTATCAAAATACTAAAATAACATAAATTAGATCAACTAAAGGAATTAAATAAACTTTGCTCAAGTCATTGCTTGATTCAATGCTCCTAACGAGATTAAGCATTTTATTTCGATTTAACTTGTTTAACTTCAACAAATTCGGCTGGTAAATTTAGCAGTTGATACTCATTGAGAACACAATGTACCACATATTCTCTAAATAAAAATGGCTAACTGAATGGAGACCAGCATCTATGGAAAAAACTTAGTACTAAATCAAGCCATTATAAACTTGTCTTACTACAAGATAACTAAAACAAAGGTTTCATTCACAGTATTTTGCTTCCTTCAGCCATAAATTTTGACCGTACATCATGACGCCTTCTTTTTAATGGGCAAATACATGGGTTTTGCTTTTTATGCCATCCTTTGTTGTTGTTTATTAACATGCTGCATTTTCCTCTTTTTTTTTTCTGCTCTCTATGAATACTATTCCAAAAAAATGTCATACTTTATAGTTTATACTAAATAGTTTTAGTGGCTGAAATTTCGTATCCTTGACATTCATATAATATTTTTCTAATGTTTTCAGGAGGGTATCCCGGTCAATTGCTAAGATCATAGCTCTTGCACTTGATCTAGATGCTGATTTCTTTGATAAACCAGAAATGCTTGGTGATCCCATTGCAACATTAAGGCTTCTTCACTATGAACGTGGCAAGTACTTTACAATTCATTTTTGGGTATTCCCTTATGTGTATTTTGCATGGTGTGATTTGTGGCATGATTGATTATTTGATATGAATTCAGATAAAGCTTCTAATCCCGTCAAGGGGATTTATGGATGTGGAGCACATTCTGATTATGGTTTAATTACTCTCTTGGCCACGGATGATGTAGTTGGCCTTCAGGTAACTTAGAAGATGATCACCAGAGATTGTCCTTTTTTTCATATTGAACTTTCGTTATTGGTACCTATCCGTTATAATATGTTTTGCGCCCTTCCTAGATATGCAAGGATAAGGATGCCCGACCTCAGATATGGGAATATGTTGCTCCTTTGAAAGGGTTAGTTTCATCTTCAATTTCTAAACTAGAATTTTCTTTAATATTGATATATACCGGAAATGTAGGGGTGTCAATTTCAAATCACGGGTCGGGTTCGGGTTGAACCCGAAACTAACCAGGCACTATTCAGGTCAACCCAAACCCGACCCATTTTTGTAAACGGGTCGGTTTTCCGGACCCGAACCCGACCCGAATGACCTGGTGCCAACAAAAAATTTTTTAGTTTTCGGGTCAAAAATGGGTCAATCTCCTCTTTTCGGCTAAAAAAAATGGTTCAATCTCGGGTTGTCGAGTCAAAACGGGTCAATTTCAGGTCAAAGGGTCAACCCGAATCCGACCCGATTTTTGAAACGGATCGAATTGTTGAACCTGAACCCGACACGTTTCGGGTTCGGGTCAACCCAAACCCGAAATTTTATGATCGGTTTTTTTGGTCGGATCCAATATTGACACCCCTATGGAAATGTTAATTCTACATGTACTTCACTTCATTTTGCAACTTGTTGTTCTTGAGATTGCTAGAGGAGATTAACTTGAAAGGGGTTTGAAGTGGAGGCTTGGTGCAGACTAGGCTAACTTAAATTCAGACAAGAGTCATTACCTAAACTATCCGTAGTTTAGGCTGTGAACTCTGACTTAAGCTTGGCTTTAAATACCACCCACCTTAAATTTAGGCATCTTTATCCCCTCAGACAATACTACGAAAACATGATTCATGATTATTATGAAAGCATTTTCATGACCGGGTGTTAAGTTGGCTCAATTTTTTGCCTTTTCCAGAGGCTTCATTGTCAATCTTGGTGACATGCTTGAGCGGTGGAGTAATGGTGTTTTCAGGTATGGATCTTCCTTTCCAGAGGAGTTTTCCTTTTTTTCCTAATCTTCTCTCTCAATGTATTAAACATCTGCTAGATTCTTTTTTGAAGTTTTTTGTCACGTAAGAGATACCTTGTCTCTGATCACTGTTAGCTCACATGAATCTAAAGTTATCGCACTTTAAAACTTTGATTTGAAGTACATTTTTCTTGTTGTATGATTCACACAACAATTTAATGACACCAGTGAAACTTTTTCCTTTTTCTGTATTTATCTTTTAAAAGAGTTTCCATGTGGGCTGTTAATGCACTTTGGATGACAAAGATCAGGTAGCGGTTATTATGAGAGAACAATGTATGATTTATGATTTAGGATTTCCTTAGCATTAATAATCCTAACTTGCACATTTGTGTCATACCATATCAGATTTAATTGGATGCTATATTGGGATTTTAATTGAGCTATTTCATTGAAGTTTATTTTTCACTAGTTTTCTCCTGTGTGCAGGTCTACACTGCACCGTGTCATTGTTGATGGACAAGAACGTTATTCTGTAAGTTGTCGAATTCAAAAGAAAGAAAGTTATTTTTAAAACATCTTAATGCTGTATTTTGACATTATTTATGCTTACTTTATCAATGTGCTACTTGAATGATGCCTTATTTGGTTTAATATATCTTATGCTTTTGTGGATCTAATGGTGTAAGATGGTGGTCTTTAATGCAACATAGAATGAGATGTGAGATGAAAATATAAAAAAAATCTTAATCCGCTGGTTATTAACTCAAAAGTTTAGCAAAATAATGTCACCCTTAATGCAAGGACATCAAATATGTTTAGTTCATTTAACAATTCCCTAAAAACTGAAATTCCATAAAAATATAGAAGACAATAATAAAATTTAGCAAAGTTCACATTTCAAGCAGAAAATTTGGACATATCTCACTTGACAAAATTTCAATAGACTCACCCAATAAGGAAGAATCAGGCCTCACACCAATATAAGGAGTCTCCTCCTATACTTGTGAGGTGCTCAAAGACATCAAGTAACGAACAAAAAAGAAGAAAAATGAAACTATATTTCAATATTCATTGTCTAATTGATGGTACATATCACAGGATCCTATTTATTGAATTCAAAGAACTCATAATAAAGAACTCCACAATTTTTAAAATTCACTAAAAAGGAATGATTTTACATCCAACTTATTTCAAAATTCCACGTCCTATATTGCTCAAGGACTCAAGAAATTAGGTTAACCCAAAAAATTATGAAAAAATATAGGCGGCTAGAGCAGTGTGTAACTCTAGATGAAGTAGTTGGAGTCATAGTGGCTTGGGCTTCGTTTGAGACTGTTTTCTTACTGTTTCTTAAAGCAGCTTTTCAGTACAAAAATTAAATTTTTTGTACTGAAAAACTGCTTTAAGAAGCAGTAAGAAAGCCGTCCCAAACAAAACCTTTGCGGGAAATGAATAGCAGCAGAGGCGACAACGAGGTAGTGAGGTAGAAATCAACAATGCAGGCAGGGATCTACAGAGTTGGCAAAAACAAACAGCGGGAAAGGAAGCATGTAGCAAGAGCAGAGATGAGAAGCTATGGAAAAGGGCTGTAGTGGATATCCAATAGGATAATAGTGGCAGGGAAACTATAAATACATGGATAATAGAGTAATGGTGGAGCTGTAGTAGTACTTCATTTAAATAGGAATAACAGTAATTAACACTAACATTGTAGTAGAGTTATAACTTTTGTAAGTGCTACTTACACAACTATTAATACTTGAGAACAAATCTGGTTTGTATATGAGCTATCATCATAGGTGTATTTATACATTCGGAATAAATTCTAAAATAAAAATTCAGAATGAATACACTTGATTTGTATTTCCAATGAACAGACTTTCAGATTTGTACCAACAAGGCTTAATCCTCCTTATGTAAGAAAGCATTGCTGGGGTCGCACATGTATTGTTAGCCTGTAATTTTTTAAGCTTGAAGTGTATATCTAATGTTTGAAGCTATTTTTTTAATCATAAAAAGGCTCTTATACTACTTTTTTCATACCATTCTTGGAAAAGGAAAGAAAAATTTGTCATTTGCTTTGTATGTCTTTGTAAAACAGTTTGCCTATCATTATGTGTGCTTCTTAACAAATATCTTCCAGTGATTTTTTTTTTTGGTTCCATTTGGAGCAGATGGCATATTTTGTGGAGCCAAGCCATGAGTGTCTTGTGAAGTGTTTGCCATCTTGCACTTCTGAGACTAACCCGCCCAAGTAAGTTTCTTATGTTCATAAAATTTAAATTCAAGCTGAGGATTTCTTATGGCAATTTTTTGCTATTTAAACTTTTTTAGGATTTTCACACAGAGAGAGAGAGAGATTGTTTAAAATAATACGTTTGATTCAATAATATGTGAAAAGAATTCAAATTAATCTCCAATAATCAATAATTGTTATGATCTTTTTCATCATTAGATGGCTTGACATTTAGGCTTAGTTTGATTATTTTGTACCTTTTCCAAAATGTATAAAACTGTTGTTTGAGAGAATGGACTTTTCTAACGGAGAAGTTAATATCAAAAAGCTTTTGCAAATAGTACAAAAACAACAGTATTTAGTACGTTGTTACGTTGTTAAGAAAAGTAGTTTTATCAAACAAATAAATTTTTGTATGTTTTATCATTGCCAGACGGAGAAAGCAGTAAAAACGGACAAACAAACGAGCTCTTAGACGCCAATGGCCGACTTACAGATTTCATCAAACTAAAATTTAAATGTCTTTAATTAAACCTTTATTTAAATTTTTATTCAAAGATATCACTAAATCAAACATCTACCATTAACATAATTGCAGATGTTGGTGAATCAAACAACTCTTAACTTTTCTCTTTCCTAACAATTTATTAACCCAAACAGCCCCTAATTTTCTGCTAATAACACAATATGGATGGCAGCTTTATGTGAATAACATTAAAAAAACCCTAATTTCCCTCTTTCTTTCTTTCAATGTATTGACATCATAGCTATCTCAGGTACCCCCCTGTAACCTGTGCTGCATATTTGAGGCAGAGATACAAAGATACACATCTTGATCTAACCTCATATCATGAAAATCAAACAAGAGAAGAAAAGGTAATTATATTATCCCTCCCCTCTTATTTCCTCTCTATTCCCATAGAAGCTAATAATGAGCTCAACTGCTACAGACATAATTAAGTTTTTAGGAAGGAAGTCAAAGCACTTCAAAGTATTGATGAAGGGTGGCAAAAGGAACAGTTCTTCTAGAATTACCTGCACCTGATAACATATGAAGCAAATTCAGATTTGCAGACTCACAGTGAAATGAAATATTTCAAACTTCAGTATTTTGGAAATGTCAATTTTCATTATTGTATACTGTTTGTAAACAAAATTTTTTTTAATTAAATATGTCACTGTATTTCACTTGTGGCTTTGTCAATTTACTCAGAATTAGGGCTGTCAAAAATAGGGTCACGGGTCGGATTCGGATCCAATCTAGAACTGACCCACCCAGCACTGTTCAACCTGACCCAAATCAAACCCGTTTTTGCAAATGGGTCGGTTTTTCGAACCTGAACTTGACCCTCTTCGGGTTTGAGTCAACCTGAACCCGACCCGCTTTGGGTATGTTTTACTAAGATTTTTTTTATTTAATTGAATATATTTAAACCTAAATCGAATTAAGGTAAGATTTACTTCAATAAATTTAAAATAAATCAAGATTAATTAGTTTGGGCAACATGTTTATTATTTTTTGAAAATAACATTTACTTATTTCGTAATAATCTTTTAAAACCCTCCTAAATCAATTAAAAACGGGTCAAACCGGGCTGATTTTGGGTTTCTGGGTCAATCTGACTAGGTTTTACAAACGGGTCGAAATCCCTATCGGTTCGGGTTCGGGTTGACTCGAATCCAAAATTTTCGGGTCGAGTTCTAATCGGGTTTTCGGGTCGGGTCAAATATTGGCACCCCCACTCAGAATTCAACAAAGTTGCATAAACGATAATGAATTTTTTTATACAACTGCATGAATTTGATTTTTTTTACTAATTTGTTAGAGATAAAGTGATCGATTTATTGAGATTAATCTTGCTTAAATACTTAATTAATCTGTGTATCACATGTTTATATGTTATGGTAGCATCAACAATATTTTTTGAAGATTGTGAAACTGGTTGAAATAGACGAGCTGATTAAGGTTTTGTTTGGGACGATTTTCTTATTATTTTCTAAAATTGCTTTCTTGCATAAAAATTTTGAGTTCAGTAAATTTTGTTTTAAAAAGCTGTTTTAGAAAGCAAGAAAAAAACTGTCCCTAAGGCTTCATTTGGGGCGGCTTTCTTATTGCTTTGAAAAGCTACTGTAAAGAAAGTAATTTAAAGTTGTTGTAGAAAGCAACTTTTTAATATAAATTTCTTTTTAAAGTAGTAAAAAATAGTATACAAAATGAAATTGTGGTTGTGATCTGAAAAGAAAAGCGGTAAGAAAACTGTTTCAAACGAAGCCTAAGGTTTGGTTTGAGATAGTTTAAGCTTTTTTTATTTTGGTAAACATATTTTTTTCAAAAACAACTTTTTAAACGTAAAAATTTGAAGTGGCGGTAACAATAAATTGTCTTTCAAACACACATTATTTGAAAGTAGGGGTGGTGTCAATATTGGACACGACCCGAAAATCCGACTCGAACCCGACCCGAAAATTTCGGGTTCATGTTGACCCGAACCCGATCCGGGTTGGGTTCGGGTTAAGGTTTTCGACCCGTTTGCAAAAGCGTCGGGTTCGGGTTAACCCGAAAACCCGATAATGACCCGAAATGACCTGCTGCCCGCCCTGACCGTGCCTGACCTAAGCTGCCCGCATCACAATCACGTGTGACCCACGTTTCGACCCCGCTGCTCCGATGTCCCAGCCACGGTTCATGAGTTGCGACCGCGGTCTACCTGCTTGCCCGCCTCGGAATTGCCCGCCTGCCCGCTGCGGCGCTGTCCGCCACGCCACTGGCCTCTTGCTTCGCGTCTCGCTGCGACGCTGCCCTTCTGGCTTCTGCTTCACATCCCGCTATGGCCTCATACCGCTAGTCGCTGACGACCCGCAAAGCGTAAACCCGATGTTTCAGTGGAATGCGGGTCGTGTCAGGTTGACCCGAACCCGAAGCGGGTCGGGTTCGGGTCCAGAAAATCGACCCT